TCTTCATTCCTGATCTAGAACCTGAAAGCCAAACTGCTGCCTGACCCTTGGTACAGAGACAACGAAGAGCTACCAGCCTCCAGGAAGGGACCAGTTTGGAAAGGGTCTGAATGCTGCGTCCCTCGAGCCCTTTGCCTTCAAGTGCTCCAAAGAAGCTTCAGGACGCTTCGCATTCCTAAAGACCTTTCGCTTGGCAAGGAGGCAATTTTGGTGACCAGGAATGAAGAAAGACGTTGAGACCCATGTCAAGAGTTGTGTGGTTTGTGCCACTATGAAGAAACGACCAGGAAATCCCCCTGGACTCTGCCAACAGAGGGGCATCCATGGGAAGAAATTGCCACCGATTTCACAGTGCAGCTTCCAGAAAGTGGGGGAAACGCTGTCACCTGGAGAGTGATCGACCTCTTCTCTCAGCAAGCCCGTTTCATAGTCTGCCCCGGACTGCCCCTGTCAACCCATAAGCTAGCCAGGTTATTCTTAAAACACTTCTACAGGCTGCATGGAGTCCCCAAGAGAATCATCTCAGATTGAGGGGTTCAATTTACAGCTACGTTCTGGAGCGAATTCCTTAAGTTAACTGGATCCTCCCAATTAACAAGGGCTTAGCTTAAGGAGCAGCTTTTCATCAGAGCACGAATGGAGCGGCAGAACCGACTCACACGATGATAGAACAATATTTGAGATGCTATGTCAACCACCAACAAACCAGTTGGGCAGACCTGCTGCCCTTCGCAGTGGTGGCGTACAATAATGTGGCACATAGCAGCACAGGGCTTACCCCGTTCCAAATAACCACAGGAGTGGAGTTCGCCCCAAGAGCCCCCCTCTCCCATGACCCTCACCAAATGGATGGAGCCCGTGAGGAAAGTGTGGGGAAACATGAAGTGGTCTCTCAGCAAGGCTGCAAAACCCCACAAAGGCCAAGCGGACAAGCACTGATCCCCTCAACCCCCATTCCAAATTAGGGACAGGGTTTACCTCTCCACCAAATACCTGAAGCTAAAAGTGCCTTGCAGGAAGTTAGGGCCAACATTTCTAGACCCTTCCTTCCCCTGTTGTATGAATCATTAACCCTGTTACTGAAGAACTGAAATTCCACGGCCTACTAGGGAAAATGAATACAGTTTTTCATAGCAATCTGCTGAGACCTGTATTCAGATCTCAGTTGAGGCCAGTAGCCAGGCAACTCCAAAAATTGTAGTGCAAGAACAAACCCATTGAGAAGTGAAAAAGATTTTAGACTAACCTCTCTGCTTACATTTTCCAGCAACTCCTTTTGATTTAAGGGGGAAGGTTCAGCTGTCAACTCTGAATCAAGCCTGACTGAAGTCATCTTTTCCTGCTTCATAGTTGCCACACATTCTAAGGGGGGTGGGGGAAGCCTGTTTTAATTTGACAATGCGACCTGGGACATTTGAGTTGTTCTTTTAATTATGTGATTAGCATGGGGAACTTCAGAGTTGGCTTTCACTACCTCTTCCAATATGATGTATCCAATAAACATGCTCTTTGAGGGACCTGCCTGCCTTGGATTTCTGATTTTGTTGGATGCTTTACTTGGAAGGCTACACCCAGTGTCTTAAACTGAGCCATCATGCCATCCTTTTTATGTATGTACGGTGGGGCAAAAAAGTATTTAGTCAGCCACCAATTGTGCAAGTTCTCCCNAAGTCTACTGCTATTGCTAAAAAAAAGTGAAGCCAAGAAGAGGAGGAGGAGGAGGAGTATTAGTAAGCAGGTTTTCTGCTTGTAATTAAAAGCATTTATTTGCACCAGGCTGCTCTGGCTGAAGGTTCTTTCCTGTCAGTGGCTTGGGGGGGGGACGACGAGGGTCAGATGAGTTCATGGCTGCCTGAAGTGTGCTTGCAGTGGCTGCGGGTGCCACTCACGGCAGTTCCCAGTTGCTGCAGGTGAGTGGCGAGTGTGCCAGAAGCCAAAAGCGGAACAGGCCTGCCATCCCTTGCAGAAGGCGGGGAAATGTAAAGAAGAGCCAACTTCCTTTCAGGAAAATGCCAGGAAGCCTTTCAATAGCAGGTCGAGCCGGGTGTTATTCAGATCACGTCCCAGGGAGTTTTGGAAGGGAGAAGGCACAGCTGCAATTGCAGGATTGGTTTTAAAAAGGGGGAGAGCGCATGCTCGGCCCTCCACCAACCCCCCTTTATCTAACTCTTAAGCGGGGACTGAGCATGCAGGGGGGGCAGTGTGGTTCCACTCCTGCCCAGACCCCTCTCTCACCCCTAGTCAGGCAGAGAATCTGGATACAACAAACACAACACCTGCGTACACCTGGGGACGAGCGGCTCTTTTCCAAAGGGAGGGTGGCTCTTCTTTATCTTTCGCCACCTTCTACAATGCAAGGGATCGTGGGTGAGTTCTGCATTTTGCTTTTGACGCACTCATCACTTGCTTGCAGAGTGCGCTGGCCAAGGGGCTGCTGGGCTGTGGCTGCTGCCGAACACTGTTGGCCCCTGTGTGCTCACCTTCTATTGTATGCACACCGGGGGGGGGGGGACGGACACCGCTGGGCTGATCACCCTGATACCATGTTTTCCCGAAAATAAGTCCTAATGCGTCTTTTGGAGGAAAACATGGTAATATGAAAAAACAATGTGATTATAAATGTCTTGTTTGCTTGGTAACAAATAATAAAGATTGGATATTCAATTGTCTGCTCCAATGATAAAAAGGTTTTAAGTACTGAAGAATTTAACAAAGTATGTATTATTGTTTGACTTTTTAATAGCTTTATTTGGTCATCTTGCTTCACAGAAGATGCTAAAATTGCCTTTTCTGTATAACTAATAATAGATGGTTCTTAACAATCGAGAGCTATTGTTATTGCCAAAAAAAATCAAATATTCCATCAGTGATAATTTTTAGAACAGTATGTGAGAGCTGGTAAATTGTTTAAGACAGTAGGAATAAATGCTCATTGAATGGGAACCATATTTTTCTAGCATGTTGAAATGGATTGTTTGTATACCAGCCACCTCATGGCCAAGTGACTCTTTAAGACATAATAGTGGCATATAAGATATGGTTTATTCCTTTAACTACAGATTTTTCTTTGAACATTTTATCTTCCACTAAAACCTGTGTTAATCTTACAGGCCCCGTGTTTGTAGAGTTTCCTCTGGATATTCTGTATCCTTATCATTTGGTTGAGAGAGAGTTATTTAGGAATGTTTTCCCCAAGAACCTGAAAGGAAAGGCCTTGAACTGGTGAGTTCTGAGTTTTCGCTATCAGGAAAGATTTTAATGGATCAGTTGGCTCAAAGAAAGCCCAACGATAGATGGTTGCAGTATAGAAAATCAATGGGGAGTTCATTAATATGTGCATTAGATGCTGCTATGGAATATCTTTTGTCATATATATGTATGCATACATACATCTACACACATAAACACAGCCATATATGATCCCTGCATTCTGATTTTATGTTTTATCATCTAAATCTTTTTTGTATCTTGTATATCTTGTAATGAGAATATTTTCCTGCTATTTAATAATGGATTCTTGACTGTATCCAACCCAATAGAATATTAAACAGAATAATAAAATAACAGAGTTGCAAGGAAGCTTGGGGGTCTTCTAGTCCATCCCTTTGCTCGAGCCATTTCAGACAAGTGGCTGTCCAGCCTCTCTTTAAAAACCTCCAGTGATGGAGCATCCACAATTTCTGAAGGCAACTTCTGTTTTCCACTGGTTTATTTTTTCCACTGTCCGGAAATTTCTCCTAGGTTCTAGGTTCCTTCTCTCCTTTTCCAGCCGTTGCTCCTAGTCTTGCCTTCTGGTGCTTTGGAAAATAGTTTCCCTCCCTCTTTTTTCTGAGTTAGATTCAACAACGTCGCCCATCAAGTGGAAGCAGAGGCGCAACTCCAAGAGCTGAAGCAAGCCGGAAGGCCAATGAAAGAACTTATTTGGGAGTTTCAGAGGCTGGCTGGAAAACTAGGAGACTGGCCAGAATGACTCCTTCAAGCAGGCCCTGGATCCCAAGTTCAGAAAGGCCTGTGGCATCCGGGAGGCTGCTGGACGGCATCCAGATGTGGTACAACACTGCGGTCATCTTGGATCGTGAGCTTCACCCCCACTGCAAGCCAACCACTGAGAAAGCAGCCAGGAGACTCCTAGGTCGCCCAGCCCAGGTCAAGAAAGCCGAAACACCAGTCCAAAATCGGCTGGAGCCATCATCAAGTGCTACCAGCGTGGTCAACATGGGCACCGGGCATCAGAATACCTAGCCCTGGCCCCAATCCCACCTGTGCGCACTCCAGCCATAAGTGGTACAAAGAGGACCCCGCGAAGACCACCCGATAAGAGTTGCCTCGCCATCCAAGCTGGCAAAATTCCTCTCCTGCCCGAAGAAGCAGAGGAACCTCCAGACAGTGGAGCCCCTCCAGGCCCAGTAGGGGAAAACAGCAGCGATGACAACCCAACGGTAAGTGCAACCGTCCGGCCCTTTGCCATCACAGCCAAAATTACAGTGTCCGAGGCGGGGGTAGAAGGGGAAGTAGAGGCAGCCGTTGACATGGGCTGCACTCGGTGCTTAATTAGTCCTCCCATAGTGGAGCAGCTGGGCATACGCACAAGGCCCCCAGCCCACCCCATCCACTTTGAGTAAGTTGACGGGACGCTGACCGGCGGGACCCCCGCCAAGCTAATAATGGCGCTTGCGAGACTTTAGATAAGGCATCACCAGGAGCTCCTCAGATTCATCCTAGGGCCAAAAACGAATCAATCACCTTGGGGTCTTCATGGCTAGACAAGTCAGGACCCACTATAAAGCGGGAGGACGGCTACCGAAAGTTAACTATTGGCGCCAGGCCGCTACCTCCAGTGAGGCTGGATCGCCACCTAGTGACCACAACCCAGAAGACCTGTCTGGATTATTTGGCCTATCAGGTCTCCAGTGAAGGGGTCGAAATGGATCCAGGAAAATTCAGAGCTGTCCTGGGCGCACAAGGGCAACCCCCTTGGACCCCCTTGGACCCACAAAAAGAGTTTCCTAGGGTTTGCAAACTTCTACCTGCAATTCATTCCCTCCCAGTCACTGAACTATTGAAAGTGAGAGTGGGGCAGAGTAAAACCCCGACCAAGTCAAGCCCTAAACTGGACCATAAAACACCAAGAGGTCTTGGAGATGCTCAAAAGACTCTTTGCCAAAGAACTGGTCCTCAAACTCCCTGACCCAGAGGAGTGTTTTGTTGGCCAAGCAGATGCCAGCGACATGGCAGTGGCCCCCGCAGCCCTCCTTCAGAGGAACCCAAAGGGGAATCTGCCGCCATGCGCAGACACCTCCCAAAGGTTTACTGAGGCCAAAAGGAGGTGGGCCGTGTGGGAGGAAGAACCTCATGCCGTCCGCTGGGCTCTGAAAGGGGGCAATAGCCTTTGGAAGTATGGGCTGATCACAAAAACCTGGAGGTGCTTAGGACCCTGCGGAAACTTTCCCCCAAGCAAATTTGATGGGCACAATACTTGAACCGTTTTCACTTCATCCTGAAGAACATCCAGGGGGGGCTTTGCTTTGTCATGAGCATGAGGTCATCCACATTTCCTCCTCCCCCCCCCTTCCAGAAGTGACCCAAGCCACGACCACGCAACAAATGTGAAAACGGCGAGCCACAGAGGTGAGGGGGAACCTGATCTAGAACCTGAAAGCCAAACTGCTGCCTGACCCTTGGTACAGAGACAACNCTCTATTTCCACTTATTTCTATCTCTATTTTAACTCCCCCTCCTATCACTATTATGTTCAAAGACGTGATAATATTTCTTTTCTATTTTCCATCTTCCATCTGTTTTGTTATTCATGCATCCATTATTTAGCTCTTCACATCTGTTTATATTAAAGTTCCATCCTTTCATTATTCAATATCTCAATATACACCTGGTACCAATCACAATCATTATTTTAAAGCATTTAAAATATATCTATTTTAAATAGATATCCATCATTCAAACTCTAATTTTCAATGAATACTTAATCTTAATTCTTATTCATACATCTATTCATGCTCTTTCCAATCCTCTAATCCATATAATTCTTCTATTAATACACATGTTTACATTAAATATATATTTTCATTATCTAATCGGTGGGCAATATTAATAGAAAAGTGTTTAAGATCCAATTCCAGCAATTTAAAATGCTTTTTCAATACCACCCCTTTGAGAGTTCAATTTTCTTTTTATTATTTTTTAAAAAGATTTTTCTCCTCTTAAAGTCTCCAGTATTTTTTCAGTCTTTGTTTGCTGCTGACAAATAGTTCTAAATATTTATTCCCCTTAAATTTCTTGGGGTCAGATTGCAACTAAAAGTATTATCTCAGCCAGTTTACACACAATTCATCTTCTCTGCTCCTGCATTGTCTTAGGTGTTCAGACTGTCCTCGGCTTCACGGCAGCCATGTTGCTGCCGCTGCTCCTTGTCTTCAGATGAGAGGGCTTTCCGAGTCAGGGAGGAGAGATGTGGCTCTCCTGAACCTGAAAGGTGGTCCCCCTTTACTTCACCACCCCTCCAAGGTGGCTATGGCTCCTAATGGAGCCTTCCAATGAGAGCTCCAAATAGGGCCACGGAGCTCACGGTTCTCGCTTCTGAAGGTGCTAGAAGTACGACCGGAAGTCTCTGCTTTTAGGATTTTTTGATGGAGCTTCTTTCTCTTCCCCTGTCCTCCAGCATTTTTAATTCATGACATCCAACAATTTGTTGATCCAGTTCCATATATCAATCGAGAAGAGTTGTACTAGTTTATCTACTGTTATTAAGTTCTTGAGCATTTTTGGTAGTTGGTAAGCGCTACAAATTAGAGCAATTAAAAATCCCACAGGATTCTTCAGCGTCTATGGTTTTGGCCACATCCTCTTGTATCACGTAACCATAACAGTGGTTTTGCTTCAGTACCTGTATTCTCTGTTGTCTACTAGGTTTCTGCGCTATTATTTGAGAAACCTGTTCGCTGGAGCTTGGGAAGCACAAGACTTTTCACCTCTACCAGTGAACATACCGGAAGCCACAAAGGCACAGGTGAAACTTCCCTTTTAAGCAAATACTTTCAGATTCCAGTCGAGCTCATCAAAGTCAAAAAGGGGATATTGGAAGCATTATTGTTTTTGTTTTGCTTGTCATGGAAATATTAATCTGCTGATATGTTCTGCTTTCCTATCATTCTAGATTTAATGTCTTCTTTGAGATTGCAAACTAATAAAAGGGAATGAACTTATGGCAGAAAACATAGTTTCCATTATTATCAGTAAAACTCTGGACTATTATCACCTTCGTTGCCCCCATTATGCATCACGGCATCCCCATAATTAATGCTGGTTAGGTTGCTACTCTAAAGCATCGACTTTTGCTGTGAACCATTTTTTCTGGACGTACCTCTGTGCAGGTGCAGCAGTGCGTGGAGCTGATCAGCAGGGCTAAGAAGCCAGTTATACTGCTTGGCAGCCAAGTGACCCTCCCGCCAATCCCAGCAAATAAGCTTAGGTGAGATATGCTGCTTGCCCTGGACCGAGATCCCTATTGATGTACTATGAGGCTGCCACTGACTCTGAGGCCCAATGTCCTTGCTCAATAGAATTAATCCATTGATGGGAAAGAGAAACCACATGATGGGTGATGAGCAGATGTGTTCAGATGAATAGACAGAAGGGAGAAGAGATGACAAAGAGATCTGAACTTTTCCTCCTGCTGCATATTCTTACAGGGAAGCTTTAGAAGAACTTGGGATCCCATGTTTCCTGGGAGGCATGGCCCGTGGCCTGCTGGGAAAGAACAGCCCAATGCACATTCGTCACAACCGGCGTGAGGCTCTCAAGGAGGCAGATCTGGTTATTCTGGCAGGTAGCTCAGCTGAGAGTTTTATACTGGCCTTTTGCTGAAGGGGACCTTCGGAAAAACATTGGGGAATTGGGAGGTTAGCAGATGTTTTTGTTAGTATATATGATGATTGTCTTAACAATTGTTTTCCGTTTATGTCTTCTGTTGTCCTTTTCAGGCACCGTCTGTGATTTTCGCCTGTCATATGGACGCATCTTGAGTAAGCACAGCAAAATCATTGCTGTTAACAGGAATCAGGAGCAACTGTTTAAAAATGCACGCTTTCACTGGACACCAAATATAGCCATAAAAGGTGAGGATCTTGTTCAAGGCAGCAATAAGAGAGATATTTGTTTGTTTGTTTGTTTATAAAATTTATGAGCAACACTTCTTAGGGATTTGGTATGGTGGGAAAGGAGACCAATAAAAAGATGATGCTTAATGCATGCATTGTTCATAGTAGTGACCAGAGGAAGAGGATCGTTGGAAGAGGGTTCATACCACCTTCAATTATGCTTTACACAGGGGATGCTGCATCGTTCTTTGTATGCTTAAACCAAAAGCTGAAAGGCTATTCATGCCCTCAGGACTGGGTGAGGAGCCTGAAGGAGGCTGATGAGAAGAAGGAGAAAACAAACAGGTAATAAATAGATGGCATTCTTTGTATGTGTCCCTGTGTAGTGCAAGGCTTTTGCAGATACTTATTGCTCTACCCTTGAATATTTTGCTATATAGAAAGTATCTCCTTGTATCAATTTATCATCTTCAGAGAGAATGCAGAAGAACCGACAGAACAGCATCTTAACCCACTGAAGCTCTTGCATCGTGTGGATTACTTGCTCCACGAAGACAGTGTACTGGTTGCCGACGGAGGTGATTTTGTAGCAAGTGCGGCCTATTTTATAAAGCCGAGGGGACCACTATCTTGGCTGGATCCAGGTAGGAGCTAAAGCAGTAGTCTAGACCTCATTGTTTTTCATGGGTGTAGAATGGATTGATACTTCATAACACAGCCTTCCACTTTGTATTCAACTGCCTTTGAAACTGGAGAAATGCTCCATCCTAGACAATATCCAGAAATATATTTTTGGTTAGCAAACGTGCATCCAATTCTCACTCAGTGAAACCCCCCAATCCACAGCGGTGTTTATCCCCCGGATCTCAGTCTACGATGAAGTTTGGGCTCTCTGTCTTTGCTGCATTGCCACGGGGACCAAAGAAACAGACCACGCAAGAGAGAGCAGAAACATTACACTAGAGAGTCAATACGTAATCAGCTGCCCTCAAATTATTTTTAGTCTGAATAATGGGAGTAGTATAAAAATAAACTTTATTCAACAATCCTAAACAATTGTACAATTCTATTATTATTCTCCATATCTTTCATCATATTTTTACCAGTTCAGGAAGTGTATTTCCTTAATTAGTAATTAATGTATGTCTTGACTAAACTGTGGGTAAAACAGGCTTTTAGTACAAAGAATAAACTCCAGAATGCATCTTGTCCTTTACAGAGGCATGAATTAGTTTGTTGATTTGTTTTAATCTATAGGTATCCTTCCTTTCTGTGTTCTGTGTAACATACCAATCCTGATAGATGTTAACAAAGCTGAAAAACAGATACAGTTTGTAGTAAACAATCATAAGCAGATGAAATGCGCTTCTTTTTAGGAAGCCAAGGAATTACTATTTGGGAATTAAGTACAGACAACCTGTGGAGTTTCTTTAATCGTGATTTCTTTGTTTCACCTCCTTGCAGGGGCTTTTGGGACTTTGGGAGTTGGGGGTGGATTCGCCTTAGGAGCCAAGCTCTGCAGGCCAGAATCGGAGGTTAGTATATTGTAGAGGGAAGCTTAAGTGTGGAAGCGAAGCCACGGAAAAGCAAATAAGAGGCTAAATCTATTTTGCAGCATCTTTCTCCAGTGCTAAGTCTGCCATCTTTTTTTTTTTTCCATTGTTAACAGGTTTGGATCTTATACGGAGATGGCTCTCTTGGATTCAGCGTCATGGAATTTGATACCTTTGTGCGCCACAGGGTAACTATGAGCTTGCCCAGTTTCTAGGAGGTCTAGGGTGACTTGACACCGCTAGCTTGGCGCGTTCAGATGTGGAAAGCCTTCTCCCCACCGCCAAGTCCCCTCTGCCAACTTCCTGTTGCCGTCTCATTGCGTGACAACTCAACACTGGAAATTAGCTGTGGGGACAACTTGCTGTGGGTGCTGGATGGAGAGCTGGGTGAGTGGCAAGGGAGCAGGCTGTCGCGGGCACAATGATTGGCAGGACAGCGCCAATAAGGGAAGCAAATGCGCTTGTCAGTGGCAGATGGTTGGCTCCCGCCCAAACACCCATTGAGCAGTTTGGCTGTGGTGGCAACCAGGGCGTCCCATTTTGTGGAGTGGGGAGAGGTGTGGGAGGGATGTCACAATGGGAAGCCCAGGCCACCGCTGCTCTGCACGTTTTTCTAAAAAAGCAACGTTGCTGAATATTTGAGGGCCGAGAGCCGGGTGGATGATTCCATGGTGTTTGTCAGCTACTTCGCAACCATCCAGCATCAGCTGCCATGAACTCAGGAGGGCTGGACAGGAGTTGGGATGCTTTGAAGGAAACGAAACTGTGCCATATCTCTCTTGAGATGGGAACAGAATGCAGCTGGATACTAAACCTACTCCTGAAGTGACCATTCTGAGAGCCTCTTCTTTGAATTTGATTCGACATTGGGGACCCAGCTAATGAGAGGTGGCTAAGGGAGGGAAAAGTTAGACTTGGAGATTTTGACAGGCGCGGCTCAATTCTGGCTGTGCATTACTATAATTCACTTCTGGTAGACCAAATCTTTCTCAATAAATGGAGTTAAGGATTGTTCTTACTTAGAGGTTCAAGCTGAGGCAGGTCTGGCAGCTGACAGTTTTTGGTCATGTGCAGAGTGCTTTCATGCTGTTTCTGGTCATGTGCAGAGTGTCCCCCCCCCCCCAAAAGCTGGGTGGATGATTTCATGCTGTTTCTGGCCATGTGCAGAGTCTTTCCATGCAAAGCTGGTAGGTGATTTCCTGGTGTGTCAACCATCCCAACTTGATCGTTTTAAAAAAAAAGACTCTCTGACTCATGGCTAGTGAAAGTATGCTCTGCTAAAGTCAAGTGGTTGCAGTGTAGCAAGCTGAATCTGGCGTTTCATGCCCAAAACATAGTTAATGTTCCCTTCGGGTCCCAGCCCCCCATGGACATTGATAAGTATCCAATAAGCAGGGTCGGTGCAACGGGATGGCAGGCCTGACATTCTGCCCCTCCTGGAATGTGGCTAAACCTGGGCAGAAAGAAACGAGGATTAAATATTGGAGGGTTTCCCTCTGCATATGGGGATCCAGGATTTCTTTAACTTCAAAGTGTTCTCCCCCAATCCAAATGGGTGGAAGGGGAGATTTGCTGTTTGGTGCAGAGGAGAGTTGATGGCAGGTTTTAGTAAATTACAATGGAAAACTGGGTGGAGCCACCAGAGATTTTTAGATAGTTTTGATTCCACAGTCACTGGATTGATGGAAATGGGTAATGAGGAAAGGGCCGACGTATAAGAACTTGGTAGACCTTATCCCCCACTTTGAATGCCTTTTGTGGGGATCTCTTTTCATCTGCATACTTCTTATATTCTTCCCTGGCATGTGCCAATGCTTTATGCACCACAGGCCAGGGGTTCTGCAGGGTTTTCATCCACTCAGCTAGCAAGGTGTGTGTGTGTGGAGGGGGATTGTTGAGGAAGTTCTAGTATGAGAGCCAATTCCTGGCCAGTAGCTATTTAGAAGGGGTGAGCCCCGCATTGTTATAGGCAACCTCAGTGAATTGCAGGAGGTTTGCTCATTCATTCTGTTGATAATTAATATAGCAATAAGGACCCCGTTAGTTCTCTTACACACCCCATTTGTCTGGGGTTTGATGAGACAACTTTAAAAATACTTGCCAGAACTTGGAAGTGAACTGGACCCCCTGAAATTCTCTGGCCCTCCAGTGCCCCAGGCAGCCCGTAAACATGCTGCACAGAAAGCATGGCTAGAGTTAGGGCTAAGGAGACTTTTGGGCCTGCTAGGAAATGGGCGTGTTTGGAGAAGAGGTCGCTCAAAACCCAGATCCCTCCGTTGCCAGAGCTCTCGGGCAGTTTGACGGTGAAATCCATGGAGATCTTTTCCATGGGGATGGGGGGTCAGCCACAGGTTGCAGCAAGCCTGGGAGTTTTCCCAGGTTACTTTTGGCTGCCGCACATCCAGGGCAACTTGCCATGTGTTTCTCTGTGTCCTTTTCCATGCTGGGCCACCAAAATCGACATTTGGTTGGATGCAGCCTTTTTTTTTTTACAAACCCAAAGTTTCCCCCCGTTCTGAGTCACGGCTTTGTTGTTAGGACCATTATTTTCTGAGTTAATGGGACGTATAGCTGGGCCTCCACCCACCCTAATTCATGCCATACGGTGATATTTGTCTTGTGCAACTCAAACCATTCATTGCCCACTTGGGTGGTTTTTCAAGTCTTCAGCCATGAGCCATGGATTTGTTGGGTTCTTGTGAAAGTTGGGGCTGCTGTCTGGATGGAGGGGATGATGGAATTTCCTGCCTCTTTCTACTTGCTATTCTATTGTGGAAGCCTCAATAAGGCACCTGCTAGGATGTCCCTGTCAGTGTTGGTGTTGGTCCTCTTGGTCCTTTGGTTGGGCGTTTATCGTTAGCTTGCTTGGCAGTTACTTGGTTGGTATATTGTGTAGTTGATTGTTGGTGCTCATCTGACTGTTGATTGCTGGTTGTGTTTTTGGTCTTTTTGTTTCTTTTGTGGCTGCTGATTGTCTCTTTCACACATTCTGTAGATGTTGTTTATCTCTGCGTGTCCATTGATGACTGATTCGTCGGAGTGCCTGGCTTCCAGGAATTCCTTAGCATTTTTAGGCTTGATCTAAGATGGTCATGGTTTCCCACTTTAAACTGTGGTTAAGTCTAACAATTAAGTCTTTAATTGAGAAATTAAAGAACTTACATCATGTCTTCTGATTGATGTATGATTTCATGGATGCGTTCCGCTAGTCCTCTGGGTGTTTGTCCTATGTAGTGGCTGCTGCAGTTGTTATACTGCATGTCATAGATAACTCCTGTTTTTCCTACTGGGCTGCTGAGTCAACAGACTAGGCTGTTATAATCACATGCCATCAGCATAGCATACAAATCAACTAAAATCCTCCACAACATCCTGAGTAAACCAAAAGACCAACAGCCTCAACAGAAAACACAGGAATCGTTAGCTTTAAAATCATACATAGAAACAACACTAGGATACATCAAGGAATGTCTTTCCGGAACGGAATCCTCCTTTCTGGCATGGTCGTCTCGGGAGGACCTGCCGAGAGTCTCCTCTTCTCAAGAGATGTGAATAAGACAGGAGACATTTCTCCACTTTGCAGAGCTCTCTCCTTCCAGAGGTCTGCGAGGCTCCCACCTTACTTACTTTCTGCCAACAAGTTAAATCTGGATAATTCCAGTTCACCTTATCTTCTGCTGATTGGCAGACCGCACTTTCTTTGGGTTTTGAGTTTAATTTTAATATTTTCCTTGGCATTTTGTTGTAAGCTCCCAAGAGTTTTTCAGGATTGGGGACAGTTATAATAAAATAAAACCAATTGTAGAGTGGAGCAGAGGCCCCCACGTCCTGGTTCACGGCTGCTACTGGTCCATGGGCCATTGGAAACTGGGCCACGAAAGATGCTGAGCGGGCAGAGCCCCATTTGCGCATGTGTGGGATTAGGTTACCTAATAATGGCTTCCTCCCTTAATCTCTTTTTAACATGGTTATTCCACTCTCTTAGATACCCGTCATTGCCCTTGTGGGGAACGATGCCTGCTGGACTCAGATTTCCAGGGAGCAAGTGCCCTTGTTGGGCAGCAACGTCGCTTGCGCTTTGGATTACTTGGGTGAGTTAATAGCCTGCATAATCCCATGTGCCTTATGCCACCTAGAAAGACAGGTAGAGTGAAGGCCAAAGAGCCTGGGCTCTCAGGAAGGACCAACAAAAGAATAGCAAAAGAGCCGTGGTGGCGCAGTGGCACAGTTCAGTACTGCAGGCTACTTCTGCTGACTGCCGGCTGCTGGTTGACTGCAATTTGGGAGTTCAAATCCCACCAGGCTCAAGGGTGACTCATCCTTCCATCCTTCTGAGGTGGGTAAAATGAGGACCCAAATTGTTGGGGGCAATATGCTGACTCTGTAAACCGCTTAGAGAGGGCAGTACAGCACTTAAAGCGGTATATAAGTCTAAGTGCTATTGCTGTTTAGTTCTCAGCCTCTTGGTTTGAAACAAATCCTGCTTCTATCACAAATTTCTGACCTGATTTCAAATGGAGCTGATCATCTGTTGGATCAAAACTGGAATGAATATCAGGATCTCAGATTCCATGTATGGTTTCACGTACACCGTGTATTTTGTCCAAGTTAATAGAGTCTCTAAGCACCTACAAAGGTTCTGCTTTCCATCCTATAATATATAGAGTATATGTACATCCTTATTTAGAGTCTTTACAGATAAATAATTTGCATTATTTATAAATTGTAAATTTATCATTTATAATTTATAAACAATACTTATAAAGCTTGTTTATTCAGTAACAACTGAATCTGATGCAGTTAATCCTTGCTTAGCGACCAAATTTGGGAAAAGGAATTCTGTTGCTAAACGTTGCAGTCACTAAGTAGAAGCTGACATGACCATAATGGGCTTCTGATGTCACTTTCCATTGGGCTCTTAAGCAAAAACATTATAGGTGATCATAACTTACAATTTCCGTGGCCTGTTAGCTCTGCTTGTTGCAAGCGGATGGCAATCCTAACAGTTGTAAATGTGTACCAGTTGCGATGCACGGGGATGGTAATCACAGGAACACAAGCAGCTGCAAGGGATTGTAAATAGGAGGATTGGTTTCAAAGCTGTGTTCCATACCATCAAAACTTTGATCACTGAGCGAGGCAGCCAGTAAGTGAGGACTCCCTGCTTCCGGCTTCCTCACCCTCCCGTATGTAATGTATTGTATCACTATGCACAATTCCTTTCTCCACCCCTTTCTTTATGCAATGCGCAAAACTTCTAATAAAAGTTAGATGTTATGACGTTGTTGTGGGTAGATACTTAAAGCTGACCTGTTGAAGGGGGGGGNTACATACATACATACATACATGTGTGAAGATGTTTCAGAGGACTACTATTCACTGCAGTTTTTGTTATTTCTGAATATTATTTTATTTCATACCAAGATACGAATATTGCTGTTATGAAGGTGAGTAAGTTGATCATCCGGTGGCAGAATATTAGGAAAAAATAATTGTTAGAATACCTGGTGTGTACAAGTTCCATCCCAATATATGTCTTATTACAATGATTTTATTGATGTTGGTGATTGGAGCTCTGGGGACAATCGCATAGCATACTGTGAGGACAGTGCAGTTTAAACTTACTATTTCCTTACCAGCTGAGACAAAATCTGCTCAGCAAAGCAGCTTTCTGACATGAGCTTCATGTCTTTTGCCCCACTTTTTTGGGAGGGAGGGAGGGTCTGCCTTGGTTTCAAATATAACTCTTTGAAGTTATATCAGTGAATGGGTTCAGGATACCAGTTCTAATCACTTAGTATTTTTGGTCAGAATTGTTGGCTATGGAAATCTTCATGTTGCATCTAGCAATCATGATGAAAATTGCTCTTGCGGGGGGAAGGGGGGGCTGACATCGCAGTGAAACGGTCGGGCGATCTTGGAGCTCCAAGATCGCCACCAATATCCAGGTCGCTGGACGGTCCATCTGGACCTAAACTGTCCCGTAAAGACGGTGACAAGAAGGGGCGCATCCTGTTGATCCCAGAGACATCGCAAAGTTTCTGGTGATCCAGGAAAAGCCCCTTTTACCGGCGACTGCGAGGCAGCCATTAATGACTGCTGAAACTGTTGACAGCTCCAGAATGCAAGGGCAGGAGAGAGTACGTCATCTTGGTGAAAATGTTTTTTTTATTTGAGAGAACACCCTAAATAATGAAAATTTAAATTAAAAGTGAAGACTGAAGAGAATAAGCAGCGAATTTAAGCCAAAGTCAAACTGAGGGTTTTTCCCCCTTTTTATTATTGGAATTTAACTGGACTTTACAAATGCAGTTTACTTTTAAAACTGGACTGATTTTTTTTCCTTCCTTTTTTTTCTGGATATATTGATGTAATTAAGTTTTATTCTCTAAGACTTTTTTTTCTCCTATTTTTTTCTTTAAGGTTTTATTGTACCTTTTCTCTTTGGATTTTTTTTTAACTTTTTATGATTGAAAGTAACAGGGAAAGTGGGGAAATAACACTGCCATCTAGAGGTTTTGAAACATTGTTTTTATTTTCATATGAGTGTTTGGAGAAAAGCTGTTCCTTTCAAGGACACATTGTTTGGCTAAGGAAGGATAGTGCGATGAGCATGGAGGTTGTTTACACAGGTGCTCTTCTGTGATATTCTCAATATGTGGAGTCTTGCCTTGAAAGAATAAATAGAAATTCAAAGGAAAAAAAGCCTAGTGTGACTTGGGGAAAATTGAAGAGTGTGGATGTGTCAAAATAAAAAAGGGGAGAAGGCAGGAACAGAAGTGGGACAAAAACTTACTAGGAAAAAAACCAGATAACTAGAAACTATATGGGAAAATATAAAGTTAAGATAAGGGTTTTATTCCTAAATATNGGGGGGGGGGCTGCTGCCAACTTGGTTCCCACTCTAAGTTTTTAGGGAGAAGGTTCCCTGTAGGATTGGCATAAAGCTTTCTCCCATGTTGATGAGTGATGGTTTTTTTCTTTGTAGATTACCATGTGGTGGTGGAAGGTTTAGGAGGGAAAGGTTTTTTGCTCACACGCCAGAATGAGGACCAAATGGACGACATCATCCGGACAGCACAATCCATATGCCGGAGTGGGCAGCCCGTCCTTCTCAACGCCTTGATTGGGAAAACGACCTTCCGTGAAGGCTCCATTTCTATGTAGGCTGTGGCTGTGGCTGTGGCTGCAGTACCTGAGCGTTACCTAAAGAGTAGAACCACTGCTTCGCATGGAGGCTCCAGCTGTTGAATTGCCATTAAGCTAGGGGTTGGGTCAGAATTGCTAGCTATTGTTAACACTTAGTAAGCTTTGAGGCCCTCTGTCAATATCTATTATTTCTGTTGTCCCATTTTGCTTCTGTTTTTGTTGGTGAAAGTCGCTTTAATTTGGTGGCTCTTCCCTTTTCGTTATCATGGTATGTTTAGCTTGGCAAACCTCGTTGACTAATCCTGACCTGCCAATCAGAAATACTGTCTATGTCTACTGAAAAAAGCATGGTGGGTAAAGAGAAAATTTAATTATTTTCTTGTACATTGTGGCAAAAATCTATTTCTCAGGAGAATATAAAAAACTAGAGAGTATATTAATAACAATAGAATAGAATGCAAATATCAGTGAATACTCAACATACCTTGTGATAAGAAATAATACAAATGTGTAACAATGTATTCAAACTATATTAGAAGTAAAGTTGTAATTTAAAATTTGTCAAATTACTTTTTGAAGTTTAGCTGGAAAAAATTAAATGTAATTGTCAAAGCAACTTATATGAGCAAAATCAATCAGTTTTATTTTCTCCTTTGGATTATTTATTAAACCTGAAAGAGTAAATATAATGATCTTTGAATGTTTTTTTTAAAAAATGTGTAATAATTATAGTTTGACCAAATTTGACTGATTTTGTTAGACATTTTTAGTTATATGTGTTTTGCATATTTTGAAATTTTTAGGTCTTAATTCCCAAAGTATTTTGACAACTTACTCAATTGATATAATTTAATATATAATGTGATACATATTTGTAGTTTACCCAGATTCTATTAATGATTTATATATATTTTTGTAGTGTGCTTTAAGGAATTTATTCAATACAAATTGGATATCAAATAAAACCCACTTAATAATCTTCACTTATTTTTCTATAGAAGTATACTATTTCAATACAGATAGGCATCGCTTGCTCTGAAATGAACACTGAAATAAATTTACAGAAAACCACATCTTCTAAATTTAGTGGAACTTAATCCCAAGTGGTTCTTGATTGAGTTGCAATAAATGTCAACTTTTTGAATATAATTAAGATTAAAATTCACATTTATAAAATTCACATTTTTACTTTTGTATGTGTTTTTCTGTTGCTGTCACTTAGAGGCTTCTAGTCATTTGAGGTTAGAATTCTAATCTCTAATTCTAGTCTGCCATAAACTGAATGACCTCTTGACACATACATACATACATACATACATGTGTGAAGATGTTTCAGAGGACTACTATTCACTGCAGTTTTTGTTATTTCTGAATATTATTTTATTTCATACCAAGATACGAATATTGCTGTTATGAAGGTGAGTAAGTTGATCATCCGGTGGCAGAATATTAGGAAAAAATAATTGTTAGAATACCTGGTGTGTACAAGTTCCATCCCAATNAAGTACAAATATGGTGTATGGAGAACAGAAGAGCCAATAATTGTTTTTGGGAGTTGTTGGTAAGATGAATTGATGTAAACATTTAATAATACAATATGATGTTGGTTATGTAATAGTAGACGTGATTAGATGTTATGAAAATGAAAAAATAAAAAATCTTAAGAAAAAAAGCAAGGAGGACTTGTATTTGGTTTGCCTTAAGGGTTCAGGGCTGGAATCTGGTTTCCTTTGACCCTTTGGGAGGTTGCAAAAGGTCCGGACCGGGGAATCCTCCTAGGGGGAACTAGGATCATGACCATCTTGTCACACCCACCAGTCACATGCTCACCTAACCACGCCCACCCAGTCACATTACCGCCCAGCCACGCCCACAGAACCGGTAGTAAAACTATTCGGATCCCACCTACATGGGATCCCCACCAGATGGATTTGTACCTGGCTGATCAACCACGCTCAATGTGTAGCCCTTAATGGACCAGAGGTACCGGGGGGGGGGGAGAGAGTAGGATACTTTAAGGTCCTCTTTTGGGCCCAGCGCTCTCCAGGACCTTCCATGGCCAGGACCGGAGCGCACTTTAGTCCGAAAGCCCACAAAGGTTTCCCAGCCACTAACAGATGCAGCAGGAGGGACGGGACGTTTGGAAGGCTTCTCCTGGCCAGAAAGGCGACCTGGATGGGCAACGCTTCGGACGGCCACTTCTTCCTCCCGTGGAAGCGCCCTTCTCTCCAAGACGCCGCGGAGTCGCCCCCCCGTTGCGCCAGAAGCCGAGGACCGCCCGACGGGCCAAGACCGCCGCCCGCCTCCTCTCCCGCCCCCCCTCCGCCCCCTCCGAGCCCCAGCAGCCCCAGCAGCCCCAGCCGCAGCCGCCGAGGCTTGGCAGGCGAGCGGAGGAGGCATGCGAGGAATGCGCTTCCCGCGGAGCGCGTCCCACGGTCCGCCCCGCTTCCCTTGCACGGGGCGCGGAAGGACGGCGCCGCTCGGGGCTGAGCGAGGATGGCGCAGCCTTTGCTCCGGAAAACTTTCCTCCGGCTGAGGGGCAAGGAGCGCCCGCGGGGACGGAAGGCGGCGCCCGCCGCGCCCCAGGACCAACCAGGTACCCGAGGGCGGCGCGGGCTCCGGGCCCCCCTCTCTCTCCCCCTGCGGGGCGCACGGAGTCAGGGTGCCCGGAGGGGGCTGCTGCGGGCCCCGTCGGCGTCTCCTCCGCAGCGGTTGGCCAAAGAAGCCAAGGAAACGGGGGGAGGGAAGAGGCTGCCGAGCTGGGCTGCGTAGCGCAGTCCGCCTTTCCGCGGTGCCCCGAGGGAGCCCAACTGGCCAGGCCCGGTTCCAAAGGGGATTGCGGAGAGCCGTTCTCCAGGCGGCCCCCGGTTCTCGCCCCGGCCTCCGCCTTGAGACGGAAAGCGCCTCTTGCGCCTCTCGGCCCGTTCAGTCAGAGGGAAGCGGAGCGAACTTCTGCAGCCGCTGCGCCCTTCCCGAAAGCCTCCCCAGCGGTGGGCCGAAGGCCGGGACTTCAATTGCAGGGAGCGTAGAAAGGGGCCGGGATCCAGGCGCTTCTGGGTTGAAGGGGGTCTCTTCAGCTGGTTGAAGGGTCCGGCTGTTTGACCAACTGGCCCCGGGGTCCTGGAATAACTGGCCCCGAGGGCTGGGAGTTGCATCCTACAGCCAGAGAGAGGGAGGTTCATAGTCCCAGAACATGTGAGTGCCAGAAACCATCACTTGAATGGCTCTTATGTGCTTGATGCCATCCTGCACCACCATGTGATCCCATTGGCACAAAGAGCCAGTGTGAAGAAGAGTTTGAGTGCTGGACACGGACTGAGGAAATCCATCTTCCAATCCCTGGTTGATTGTTGGATTTGCTGGGTAAACTTGAGGCAAATCCCTCTCTTTCAGCCCACACTGTCTTGTGGGTTCTGGCTAAAGTAAGAGAAGGGCGGACACCATGGTGTGCATTGCATTTACTGCTGGGGGAAAGGTGAGATAGAAAAGAAGCATTAAACAAAAATGCACATGCTGGTTTCCAGCTGCTGCAAATAAAACTCTAGCTGACAAGAGACCCATAAATGGCTGGATGAATTAAGTGTTAATTCTGCAGGAATGCAGAAGATGTCAATTGCCATTTTTTAAAATTCATTCAGTGACACTGTAAGAATGGCCTAAGAAAATCTTTATATAGATTCCCTCCTCCATTAGATCTTTCACCATGAATATTCACAGACTCTGCTGAAAGTCCAGAAAATTGTGGTAAATATTGAAATAATAAAGCAACATGACTTGTATGAGGGAGGCTTACAGTCATATTGAACCAAGTAGCTAGTTTGGGTTTGCTTGGGATTAATAAACAAACACACCACTAGGAGGTCCTGGAGAAAGGATCTTGCTCTAAACCTCATTTCTCCTTCTGTAAATAAAAAGTAATAATCATGTAGCTTGTAGAAATGAGAAGCTGAACATGACATGTAAATTAAATGTATTCTTCCAATTATGATAAGTGAAAAAAAAATCTTGAGAGTATCCTACATTTCTGCAGAGAAATTTTGTTTCTGTTATTATCAAAGTTCTTGTTATATATTCAAGTCCACTAAACCCCTTTCTGATTTAATGTTAATTTTTCCTCCATATGGAAAAGCCTCTTTTAAACTTGTTTTTGGTCATTCTTTTGTAATTTTCTTCTTTTATGACTATAAATCTCTTTGAGATATCAGATTGAACTGAAGTCGGTTTTTACTGCTTGTAAAAACAATGATAAAGCTATCAAGATCTAAGTGTTTATTGTTTTTATCCCCAGCTTTTATCGGTGAACTTTCCACAATATTGATGGAAATGGTAATAAACAATTTCCCCAGTCAATGAAGATAAAATATTTTTTTAAAATAGCAAAATAATATAATCAAATATTTTGATTGATGAAATAGATTGTTCTAAAGTTTAATACAATTACTCTGAAAAGGGAGGCAATTCTACTATTCATGCTTTATCCAATCTCTCCTGATTTGTGACCTGCATCTTCATCCTTGAGTTATGCCTGAATCAATGGGACTGTTCCTGGGCAATCAGTCTCTTAGGAGCTACAAAGGGAGCTCTGTCTCTTGGCCAAGGAGGGGACTATGCAGTAAACAACAGGAAATCCAGCTTGGCACGAAGTCTGAGCAGCTGGAAGTTTGGGACAGATATCCTGGCTTTTGCTCTCTTGAAATCCTCAGCTGCATTTCTTCAGGCCAAGCTCCCCCCCCTCCCCCACTGCTTAAATCCTTCCCAATTCTTCTTTTGGCATCATCAGAAGTTCTGAAGGGTTGTTTCACTCAGAGAAAGTTTCATTTCAAAGGTCTCTCAGACTTAATTTTCCGTGTTTCCCTGTGATGGGAAGGTCTGCTAGTCTCTGCACTACATTATCTGACAGCATAATCGGGGTCCTATCAGTCAGTAGGAAACTGGACTCGAATTGAAATTCAGCCTTTTGCTTAGAGTCCTCCTGAATAGAGACTGAGTGGATGAGGGCACCAAATTTGCAGATGGTGATCATTTTACACAATTGCATATAGTGCGTAAGTAGCATTCTTTCCGGAATGGGCTGAATGTGCCAGTGGTTATACATCCTTGGTTACATCCTGTCTTGACAGTTGCCGTGTGCTGTACAGGCAGCTAAACAATTCAAAATACCTTGGCTAAACTGGATATCTGTCTTCATGGGGTTTAGTTTATTATCCTCTGATCATCTTCATTGCCTTTCAGTTTCTCTACATCTTTTAAAGGCTGGTGACTGGAATTGTCACAGTATTAAAGACGGGCTCTGACTAATGCAGGGCAGAATGGAAGGATTGCTTCCTCTGACTGAATATATCTTTGCCTTTTTTGCAGTCATACAACACCTTGTTAGCGCATATTCAGTTTGCAATACTGCAACTTCATTTTCACAAGTACTGTTACCTAGCCAGTGCCTCTCATACTATATCTGTCCATTTTATTTTTGTTTCTTGACTGAACACAGCACTTGAGTCTGTTAAATGTATTTATGTTACTTCCATCCCATTTCTCTAGCATTTCAAGATCAATTTGAATTTTATTTATTCTAGGATATTAGTTATTCCACCTAATTTTGTATTATCTGCAAAGAAGAAGAATAGAATAGACTAAAACTTTATTGTCACTTTAAATGTACATTAATCAGCATACATTCAAATGAAATTTCATTGCATTCAGCTCTCAGAAGATGACTATTGTGCATATACCCAAATACCCACACATATACCACACAGAGAACATGGCGGAAAAAAAGAATCTTGCAAATTTACAAGACAGATGGAATAAGGAACAAAGCTGTTACAGAATCTAGTAGCCCTACTATAAATACTTCAAAGTCTCCTCCCAGGGGGGAGCAACAGAAACAGAGCCTGAAGTGAGTGTGTGGGGTCTCTAACAATGCTTCGAGCTTTAAGCACATAGTGCTTATAAGCAATATCCTGACTAATGGGAAGCAAGCTTCCTGTAATCTTCTCTGCTGTCCTTGCCACTCTCTGTACGGACCTTCTATCTGAGGCGCTGCTACTACCAAACCAAACAGTTTGTTAAAACGCTCTCAATCGGGCCTTGGTTAAGCATTCCTTCTATCTATCCCTTATAAACGCATGTGAAGCTCCTTGCAACACTGTTGTTCATATTGCTGAAGAACCATTGATAAGTACTCTTTAGATACAATTTTTATATCTATGTCTTATTTTAATTGTCATGCCATCCAGCCCATCCAACTATTGTATCTTGCTAATCTTGCTGATCAGTGTATTTTGGAATGTTCTGGAATGCCTAAAATCAAGAAATTTTACAATAGCAATAGCACGTATATACCACTTTACGGTGCTTTACAGCTCTCTAAGCCAGTGGGTCTCAACCTTCCCAATGCCGCGACCCTTTAATACAGTTCCTCATGTTGCGGTGACCCCCAACCATAACATTATTTTACGTTTTCTGTATTTTTTCAAAAATATGTGTTTTCCGATGGTCTTAGGAGACCCCTGTGAAAGGGTCGTTCGACCCCCAAAGGGGTCCTGACCCACAGGTTGAGAACCACTGCTCTAAGTTGTTTACAGAGTCAGTCTCTTGCCCCCAACAATTTGGGTCCTCATTTTATCAACCTCGGAAGGATGGAAGGCTGAGTCAACCTGGAGCCGATGAGACCCAAACTGCCCAACTGCAGAGGTAGCCTGCTGTACTGCATTCTAACCACTGCACCACCAGGCACAATGATAACATTTCCAGTTTACTAAGGTAGTTAATGAACCAAAAATAGAGAACAAGATTTGTTTATGACAAATCCACGCTAACTACTGGAATTACTGCACTTTTGCAAGCCTTCAAAACTGATCTCTCTATTGTGTTCTAAAATGTTTTCAGGTGTCAATGTTAGATTGCCCTGTCATTGTGCACTCAATCTCCCCTTTCCTTCTTTTCGAACATAGGGACATCTTCTCATCTGGCACACGTCCAGTTTGCAGGATTTTTGAGGGAGAAAATATATATAGGGATTTGCCTAGATTATGAACTGATTCCTTCAATAGGGTGCAATTAATTTGGCATTAGAGATAGAATTTGATAGAGAGATATAAACCGGTTCAGAATAAAGGGACAGCCATGTTTCCATCCGTCTCAAGATTCAATATTCCCCCTTCAATATTCCTTCTTTTGTTTTGTTTTGATCAGTTTTTGTTGGCTGCCTTGAACATTCTCCAGACTAGAAAGTAAAATTAAAAAAAGACAGGTGATCAAAGGATGCAGCCTTTCAGATAGTTGCAGGAATGAATCCTCGTCTACGATAAGCAGAATTTGGGTTCCATTTTCTGTTCAGTAGGCGTCACATTTAGGCTTCGGCCCTTTTCTTTCCTCCTCCTGTTTCCTTATTTGGTAGGATTAATTCATAGTTGTTTATTTCTCTGATGAAATACTAAGGGCCCATATTGGATAGATTAATTAATCAACTTCTGTTCCAGTAGATCCTTCATTGGAGCTGCCGGAGGATTCACATCGACCTTCTGAACCTAAGTCGGTGGATACTGTTCTGTTGGTTGATGGAGGCCAGAAAAGTGTTGCCATCACTGTGTCACGGAGACAGAATTGGGCCAAGTTCACCTGGAGCTGTCAAGAGGACTCTCATAAGAGAAGGCCACGCCGGAGCCTTTCCCCGGAGCCACCCGCCCCGGAAGACATTGGCTCCGTGGCAGCCGGACCTAGTAAAGATGCTGACTTGCTAGCCACCTCCCCGGAGACAGGTAACCCCGGCCTCAACACCAAATATAGCAACCAAGGTGCTTATCTGCAGAGCCTGGAAAAAAGTAGCCGCCGGTGGGTGCTCTCCACAGGGAAGACTCAAGGCGTAGAAGACGAAGCTCCCACTTCCGCCACTGCGATGGAAGGGCTCCACAGGCCTGGCAACTCCCAGGGAGAAATCTGGTACAACCCAATTCCAGAGGACGAGGACCTCCCCTCCCTTGGAAGGAAGGGTGGTGGTGGTGGTGAGAATGGGGACAAGAAGAGGAACCCAGCGGAAGTTAAAGTCCCACATGAACGTACAGATATTGGCAGTGTAGATATGAAGGCAGCCAATAATGTGCAGATTTCTCCAACCCAACGGAAGGGCGTTAAAGAAGTGGAGGTGCTGGGCAGCCACCAGTCTGAGACTTGCGGTGAGTTGGTTCTAAGCAGAGGCTCGCATTTCGTCGGGAGCGTGAGAACTGACTTGTGGCTTTGGAGAGTTGAAGCCTGAGGACTGTGGGGATTTGGTTGCATGTCATTTAGCCAAGAGAAAGATTCTTCTTCTCTTATGCCGAGGCATAAGATATCCTGGGAGCATCTCTTCTTTTAAAGAAAGTTAGGGATAGAGAAGACAATCCCAGTCTTTTAAACAGCTGTTATGCTGAGTTTAGCTTAGCTGACTGTGCTCTAAAGTGCTTAGAAAGGATCCATTCTGAACGCCCAGCAGGGCCCCACTAAGCCCTGGGAGTGGCTAGCGATTGTCTTGAAATGCCGTTTATCCTAAATGCACATTGAATTTAAGGCCATCTCTAAGGGAAAAGCATTTTCAGTGAAACCACCAGCACATATCATTGATTGGGTTGCTGGTTGTAGGTGTTTCCAATCATTCATAGAACCACCTAAAGTTTTGGCTGAAACTGTTGAGTTTAGCAGGATGGACATTCGTGTTCCTATTAATAATTAAAGTGGTATTTCAATTTTGGGGGTATCTGCAATAAACAAGGGGGGAATGTCTGCTCCTGCATTAACCGTTTATACTGTATCAGATTGCTTTGTGGCTTTTTTGGGAAGAAGAGGGTTGCCTTCTCCAGTTGTCCCTTTTTCTGAAAAGCCACCAGAAAGGAAGCCAGTTCCTTCTCTCCCACCCTGTTGCCTGCTGTGGTGCAATGCCTGTTCCCTGCGGGATGAGCGGCCTTTGGCCTTACACGGTTTCTCTCCTCAGGAAAGGTACCTGCTGCAACTGTGGATCCTGAAGAAAGTCCTGCCGGGGCCACCCTGGCGGCCCAGAACACCAGCGCCAGTCGGAAGAGCCATTCCTTCAGCAAGACCAAGTCCCCAGGCCCAGTGCGAAGCCTCTCCATCAAAATGAAGAAGCTGCCAGAGCTGAGGCGGAAACTGAGCCTGCGCAGCTCCCGTCCCCGAGGGCCAGAAAGGGCTTCCTCTGCTAAGGAGTCGGGGAATGTCATCAGCCGCTACCATCTGGACAGTAGTGTGGGAGCTCCGCGACCTGTCACCCGAGACAAGGCGGCCAGCCCTGGGGGGTATTTGAGTGACAGTGACTCCCCAGAATCTCCGGCCAAGGCAAAGGCAGGCCTTGGCCTCGAAGGGTCACCATTCTGGCCGTACAGTTTTGCTGAGCAGCCCAGCAGTCCGGAGCATTTCTCTGGCCTTGTCAGCATCCACCTGCTGGGGATCCAGGGCTTCAAGCCTCCCAGAGCTGAAGCCAGAGAGCTCTTCTGCATTCTGCAAGTGGATTCCGTCAACAGGGCTCGCACAGCCCTCCTGCCTTGCCAGGCTGCTGTCCTCCCCCTCAACCATTCTTTCCAGCTGGAGCTGGAGGACGCCCAGCTTCTCAAGATGGTGGTCTTCTCCTGTGATCCTGCGGTGGGCAAGAACCGAGTTTGCTGCCATGGCACCATCATTCTGCCCCAGGTTTTTCAAGGTGAGGAAGGCTGTTCGTGCCAATAGGTAGCTTTCTAAGGAGCTGCAGATAGAAATAATGTCCTTTGCAGCCCACCTGTCCACACAGTAGGAAGCTTCCTTCTCTGCCGGATCAGATCGTTTTTTTTTTCACTAGTTCAGTACAGGCTGCATGAGAAGAGCCTCAATTCAACATCTTTATCATTCAGGGCTACTTTTAAACTTGTGATGGGATGGAAGTCAGAGTTGGGATCCCACTCAGGCAAGGATTGTCTTCTTGTTGTCTCTCTTCTTTCTGCCAGCATAGCACGGGACCCAAGTCCTGCTCAAGATGCTGGTGCTGGGTATAATCTCAAGAGCTCCTGAGACTGAATTGACCGCATGGGACTTTCTGGTTTGGGGAAGTGGGGGGTCCGTTGTAGTCATCGCATTCTCTAACATTTCTGGTTTCAGGTGGTAGGACCCAGCAGTTAGCCCTGCAACTGGAGCCTCAGGGGCTTCTTTACATCAAACTCACTCTGGTGGGTCAGTGGGATCCAACTAATTCTGAACAGGAGCCACAAGTCTTTGGAGTGAAGCTGAACCAGCTGGTGAAAAAAGAAGGCGCTGCCATCAAGGTGCCACTCCTAATCCAGAAATGTGTCACCCAGATTGAGAAACGAGGATTGAAGGTGAATGTTCTCCACCCCAAAGCAACCAATTTCCCAAGTTTTGTGTAGACCACAAAACATAAGAGTAGCTCAACCTGATCAACTCCTTTCTCCCAACCCAGATGCCCGTTTTTTGTAGTTTGCCATCCATGTGAGATTTATTTATAGGACCTATGTGGCCACTTGCCACATACAAGGATTCCAGGCAGCTCACAACCATCCCTAAAACATAGTTAAAGACAAAGGCACCTTCCCTCCAAGTGCCAGGCCAAACATTCTCACAGTTCATCCCGATGTACTAGCCCGATGCTTTGGGGGAAGAGGCAGATTCCCACAGCCTTTCAGAATGCTAAAAGGGTAGAGATTCCTCTGATCTCCAGTGGGAGGATGTTCCTCACCAAGAAGACACTCCTCCAAGTCCCATCCAATGGGCTACATTTAAGGGGAGGGAACTTAAATGCCCCCACCCCGTCTAATCTAGTAGGGCAGGCAGATACCCTCAGGGAGAGGCATTTCCTTCAGTAACCTACCGTAGCCTTGTGCCATTAGGACTATAAAGATGATAATCAACACCTTGAATTGGAGCTGGAAAGCAACTGCATGCCAACACAGGTTACACAGCAGGGTATCCAAAACTGGACTGTTACAGCTTCTGGATGATCTTCAAGGCCAGTTCCATGCAAAGGCATTATGATAATTGAAACGGGAGGTGACTAAGGCATGGCTGACTTCTTCCCTATCCTATTGCTTGCAGCAGTGTCTGCTTATCCGGGTGATCAGCTCTGTTCTCTCTGTAGGTGGTGGGCCTGTATCGCTTGTGTGGCTCAGCAGCAGTGAAGAAGGAGTTGCGTGATGCCTTTGAGAGAGATAGCGCTGCTGTTGTTCTTTCTGAAGATCTTTATCCAGACATCAATGTGATTACAGGTTGGTGCCTACAGCTGGACTCTTGTTAGACTTTCTGACTGACAAAGTTCCCAGTAGACTCTGGAAAGACTTCTGGAATTAATAACATGTAGGCAAGTCACATTGCCAATGTGGAGTGTGGGGGGAAAAAACCAATTTAGAAACACACTGGAACTCATTGACTGCTGGGGCAATTAAAAGAAGTTTTTACTGCTCTTATTGAAACATTTGCTCATCATCATCACCACCACCACCACAATTATGGGATCAAGGCTCTCTAGCTATGACACTTCTTCCCTGTGTGAAGTCCAACAGAGATAGAGGTTCTTGAGGTTCTCTTTGTAGACCCAGCCTTTTGAACCCACTCTGCCTTTCTCTGTTATGCAGTTCTTTCCCTCCTCTTCACAATTCAGATCACAGTTAAAAGAAGCTCAAGGAATTCTCTTATGTGAAAGGTGCTGATTCTTCTGCAGGTAGCTTGCAGGTGCTGGAGAAGAACCCATGTAGGTTGCTGGAAACTGGGTTTTCTTCTCCAATCTTTTCCTGAATTCAGGCCTTCCGCAGGTGCACACAGACTTATCAGTTAGGCAATGCGCATCTTGGTCCACCTCTTCAAAACAGAACATTCAAAAGCTCAACACAGGATTTCTGAAACCACGAGAGAACTTAGTTTCCCTTTGCAAGGACTAAGCTTTAGTGGGAATGGAAGTCTGACAGGACTTCAACTTTGCGTTTCTGAAAGGTCAGGAGATAAAGAGTAGGTAAGAAATTCATTCAATGCTAAACTGACTGGCGCTCTCAGAATCACTAAGAAAGAGCCCTTTAGTTTTATTTGGGTGTGTTACACAAATTCATTATCATTTTCAAAGTGTGTGGCACCACATTATTTGAGAACTGCTGGTTTAAGAAATTGCAGACTTTTGCCTCCCAAATCTCAAGGACTGCTCTATAAAGCAAAAATAGAGTTATAAGGAGACAGAACATCAAGCATTCATATTCAATATTTTTGTGCAAAAAAGTTTATATTGATGAAAGAGACAATCTTTTGGGGATTATATTGCTGATACAACTAAAGATATGGAGACTAAATATGAACAATGTTATATTTAATATTTAATTGGGGAAACCTCAAGGCATTTTGGTGCTATTTCTCACCCTTTTGAATACCATGGATCCAAATGCATATTTTATAAAGTCTAGAGCCAGGGGAGCTCAAATTTCCTGTCTCATGTTTCCTCCGTGCCTTGGCCCACTTCCTTTCACGATAAAAGGCAGGTCGGGGCTAGCATGTGATGGCTGGGAGTGAGGGCTGCAGCTCAGGACTTGGCCAATTGCCATTATTTTGGCAGTGAAGCTGGAAATGGACTTGACAGAGTTCCTCTTATGCAGGTTGAGTGTATACAGGTCGACTTCCAAGTTGGCCGAGTGGATGGGCCCCAGCTCTATTGTTCCTTTCTATATATTGTTTGACGAATGATGTGAAAGTAAGGTTTTGAGCAGCAAAAGATTCAAATGTGTTGGATCAGAATGAATAGAACAATAGAGTTGGAAGGGACCTTGGAGGTCTTCTAGTCCAACCTCCTGCTCAGGTAGGAGACACTGTACTATTTCAGACAAATGGTTGTCCAATCTGTTTTTAAAAACTTCCAGTGTTGGAGCATTCACAACTTCTGGGGAGAAGTTGTTCCACTGATTAATTGTTCTAACTGTCAGGAAATTTCTTTTTAGTTCTGGATTGCTTCTCTCCTTGATTAGTTCCTATCCTTTGCTTCTTGTCCTGCCCTCAGGTGATTTGGAGAATAGCTCGACTCCTTCTTTGTGGTAACCCCTGAGATATTGGAGCACTGCTATCATGCTTTTAATGCTTTACTGCTTTTAATGAAAAGTCCTCCTTTTCTCTCTAAATTAGACGTACCCAATTCCAATCTGTCTGCTTCCTCCCTCTGCTATCATTTTGTTCCCTTATCCAACCACTGAGGAAAAAACCCACTCACGTATAAATAGCAGTAGCAGTTAGACTTATATACCGCTTCATAGGGCTTTCAGCCCCCTCTAAGCGGTTTACAGAGTCAGCATA